GGGGATGGACAGCAGAGAAGAGGGTGGGGGGAGATGTCTGACAGTGTAACATATGACAAAATAATAATAATTACGAATTATGAAGGGTTCATGAGGGAGCAGGGAGTGGGAAGGGAGGGGGGAGATGAGGAGCCATTATTAAGGGCTCAAGTAGAAGGCAAATGTTTTGAGAACGATGAGGGCAACAAATGTATGTATGCTTGACACAATGGATGTATGTATGGATTGTGATAAGAATTGTACGAGCCCCCAATAAAATGATTTTTTAAAAAAGAAAAGGTAAAGAAGGGGGGGGCAAGGAAAAGATGACATTAAATTTAATAATAAGCTATTTAACCTCATCTCTCCAGCATATATCAGTAGGTCATCGATATAAAAAAATAATCAAGTATTTTATTTATTTGTAGTGTCTTTGAAATTAGATGTGTAATTTTACACTCCAAAACCAATAAAACCAAACTCACTGCCATTGAGTTGATGTCGACTCCTAGCAACTCTACAGGACAGGGTAGAACTGACCCCTGTGGGTGTGTGAGACTGTATCTCTTCACAAGAATAGAAAGCCCCATCTTCTTCACTGCAGATTGGCTGGTAGTTTTAAACCGCCAATTTTGGCAGATCGCAGATAGATAGATGATAGATAGATAGATAGATAGATAGATAGATAGATAGATGATTGATAGATAGATAGATAGATAGATAGATAGATAGATAGATAGATATTGATAGATTCTCTGGTGGGCTCCTGTTGGAGACAGTCTAAAACAATGGTTGTCAGTCTAGGCTACCAGGACATGACTTTCATCATGACCGTTTCTGGACAGTGTCTTCCAGATTCTCAACTGACATGTATGTCCTCTCCTGGTTTGGGTTTTGCTTTTAACAACCCTAAAATTTCGCATTTATTTCTTTGAGTTATGCTCAATATGTCACTGGCGAGGGAACAAAAGCATCTCTTCACTAAGAGCAATGCACACGGTTGATTTTGGTTCTTTTAAATGTAACCAAAATGTTTTCCAGTAGTGCACAATATTTACACTGGTAGAACTTATACACAGATATTATATGTGGTTTCTTTTAACCTATGAGTTGAAAACACAATCCATCTAGACTGTCTCGAACAGGATTCCACCAGAGGGGGTGGGGATATATATATATAAAATTATAATTATATGCTGTTAAGCTAACCAATTATTCCCCGGCACGCTCACCATGAAGCAGTGGAATATAGGTTAGAACTACTTGAATCGAAGGCTCTACTTGATTTGCAAGAAACCACATACAAATACCTATGCTTAAGTTTTACCAGTGTGAACATTTTGCGGTACTGGAAAACATTCCGGTTAGTAGTTGCAACCGGTTTTCACAAACAGTACCTTTAAATAGCTTTTTCAATGAAAGTTCACTCTCATGTCATTTTATACGTTATTTTATATTTTCTACCTCTTATAATAAAAAAGGACTCTGGTGGCACTGTGGGTTAAGCATTGGACTGCCAACAGCAAGGACCGTGATTCATACCTATCCGTCATCCTGGGGCGTTCTGCTCCCATAAAGATACACAGGCTCAGAGACCCAAAAGGGCAGTTCAACTCTGTCCAGTCGGGCTGCTCTGAGTGCCAGGGTTGGGTGTGCGGCGCTTCTGCAGAAGGAAGAGGTGTGTCGATTGCCAGACACTTGTTTCTTAGCAATCAATACTTTCTTCTTTCATGAAAGAAATTTGAAACGTTTGATCCTGTGGTCTAGTAAAATAAAAAAAATTTATCGATCCTGATGTTTTATATATGATTCTTGGGTAATAACTCCCAGAAACTCAACACCAGAGTTCGACAAATACATGCATACCTTTTGACCAAAGGAATCTATGGATCATCAGACTCCTTGTTTTATAGCTGGTATCAAATTGTGCATTGTTCCATTTCACAAATATCTAATGAGAAATAAAATTGTGATTTAATATATTATGAAATGGTACCAATCTTATTATCATTTAAATCTTGGCTTTACTTTGTTAGTATATCAAATCTCTTGGCAAGTTTACTATAAATATTTCCTTAAAATTGGATGATCTAAATCTGAAGCCCTAAGACCTTATGTTGAAGGGTTAGAATAAGCTAAAGGCATCTTTTCAGAATTACTGGCTTTGCAAAGGCATGTTGACCCAAGTATTTCCTCAACTTCTCTAAGTGTCCCAAAGCAAACCAAGCTCACTGTCTTCTAGAGCTACCCTACAGGATAGGACAGAACAGTTCTTGGGGGTTTCCGAGATTATACCTCTTTGCAGGAGTAGAAAGCTTCGTCTTTCTTCCGAGAAACAGCTCAACGCATACCTACAAGCATTAGATGAAAAATAATGTCTCAATGTGGAAGTGTAACAGACACCATGTGGAGTCATTTGGAATATCTTGGTAAAGTCTTTTGGGTAAACTTCCCAGAAACTGACAGTAGCCGATTCAGCAATAATAAATTCTTTTGTAGAGCTGAGCGTTCCGTTGCTATTAAAAAGAAATTAAGATAGGCCTAGCTAAGTTACCTGTTGACAAGTTATTTACAATTACTTCTAATGATCAATGACTCTGTGATTCTTTTTAGCTGTGACTTGAAAACACAATCCATTCCCTTCTTCTCTGTGAGCAGTTTTCTCAGTTCTTGTATTGACAACAATGACAAATAAGACTGAATTCATACTGCACTGGCTCAGTCTAGAAGCCCGAGATTCTTAAACTAATTTCGTGGAACATAAACTTAAGGGATGCATTTCTATCCAAATTCTAGCTATCGTAATTACAAGTCAAAATGATAATTATATAATGGCATATAAAATGTATGTGTAAAAGTATGTTATTAAAAAACAAATAAAACAAAAAAGGTATGTTATCAACTTCATGTTAATAATGTAGTGATAAACACTGTAATGCAAAGAGGCTTATACTCACAGGAAATTTTATGTTCATCCATATTTTTTCAGAGATAGGGAGACCCGTAAGACATCTTCAGGCATGAAAGGGATTCCATTCGGCTATGGGATGTGGGAGAAATGGAATAAAAGGACAGTTACAGGAGCATGAGGAGCCACTAATGAGTTCTGCTTTGTTTGCTTTTGATATCAATAATGATGACTATCAAAGGGCTAGGGTTCGCTATGTGTCTGAAAGATGGGTGGGGAGAGACTGGTTTGGTGGCACGGAGGGAACAGGGCACTGGCCCATGGGGCGGGGGACAGGGGGGAGAGTGTTGGTTGTGTCTCCACAGAATTGGAACGGGCATACAGCCCCCATCAGGACACGCCAAATCAGAGGAGCAATGTAAAATG